TAGTCATATGCTTAAATATATACACATGCATAAGAGCTATGCTGAATCAGGACCCATTTGTGAATGACATGGCATATTACTGTTTTTTTAACCCTTGTATCTCAGTACTCCTAGAAATAATAATGACTTCCTAGTTTGTCTTGATGTTATCAAGTTATATCAGTTTTTTACTGAAGTATTTCACACTTTGGGACTCCCAAATACTAGTGGAAAACTGCAACAGGCAGAAGAACTATTAATAGATTTATTTTTTGCTTGAGAATCTACAATGTACAGTGTTCTATACTTGGCATGGAAAGAAATAGATATGTATATTACAGCATCAGAAATATCTTAAGGTAAAAGTTATTTAGTTTATAGTTCAGCCACTTTGCATAGTAAAACTTCATTACTGAAATAAGGTGCTGTTCAGTAGAAAAGAAACAGCCAGTAACTACGATTTACAAAGCCATCAAAACTAGGGAAATGCTCTCTTTAATCACAGCTATAATTATGGGGCAACTTTCCTCAGAAAATTTACTCAGAATAAAAGTTAGAAGAATCTGAACTTTATCTATCAAAGTGCAACAATTAAAATTATTTTCTTTCCAAGGATGAGTGATCCTTTTGGGGTGGGAGGGAAAAAGCATTCCTGGTTTGTTACAGTACAGGAAATAAATGTGGTACAATTGCCTCATATACATTTGTACATGGATATACAGATATGAACTCACATGCACTCACAGTGGATGTGTCTTCTTTAAATGGATCTGGCTATTGTTTCTGGTGCCTAAAATTCACATATAGACATTTAGTAATCCTTTTTATTTAAATTTACTAACAAATAGGTTATCTGAAAGTAGGACTTATATTTTTTTTCCAAACCTGAAACAGCATTGGAATGCTTATGAAAGAATATTTTCGATATTTCCTGCACTTTTCTAGTCACTTTAGGTTTAATCTCTCAATCACTGTCTTCAGTGGCCATAGGAAGAAGCAAGAAGCTTCTATCTCCAGTGAAATGATTGGCAGGTCTTTGTGAATAACTCAAAGAAGAACTCCTGGATATTCTGTGAATGAGTGTAAAAAGTCAACATAAATTCAGATTGTTAAAATAGCTTATGGGAGACATGTGGAAAGTGTTGGCTACAAATGTCCAACTCGGGATCCTTAAAATTCTAGTTTATTAGGCAGATTGAAACACTGTAATCATAAACCTTGGGGCTGGTCCCCACACACACACATGCACACACATACACATACACACACAGTAGCAGGCTACAGAGTCAGGTATACCTATCCTACAAGCGCTGGAGTCTGCCGTCGATGGCCAGTCGAGGCTTCTTTCAGCATGGTGTTATCTTCCAGAAGGGGGTCGCCGGCTGGTCCTTCTGGCTGGACAGGTCTGGTCGAGTTGGAGATCGAGATCAAGAGGGCGCCACTGAGAGTCACTTTTCACTGCCTTTTATCTGTCCTTAGCAGACTTTGGTGACTCCCCAGTTTTCAGGTTTGCCCAATCCAGGGGTCATTGACCCTCGTGGGACTTCCCCCCCCCTCAGTGTCTACTGGACGGCATCTGTCAGCCCCAGGGGTCGTCCGCATGTACGTGCAGGTTAGGGAGTCTGATGATGAATTTAGAATAGGGCTCTGGGAGTGGTCGATCTGGAGATATTCAGCCCAAAAGTTAGTCTCTGGCGTTGATTAACTCATGCCAGGGCTTCTAGCCCTTGATCAGTGACGTTTAGAGATTTCCCGGTTGTTACATTGTCTTCTATTGAGTTCTTCCCTTGGTTGATCTGCAGCTTCCAGGTGATAATTGCTGCCTGCTACTATGTTACACATTCAAACACTGATTCATTCACTCTTTCAGAGGCCAGCCTGATACAGGGAAGGGCAGTTTGATTCCTGCCCTTGTTAACATTGTTACAATGTATAATTTACTTATGAAACTAAACATATTCAGTTGAAAATTGAAAGGTGAGGAGTATAAAATATAAGCTACAAATGCCATGGCACACAAATAGATAAAAATACCAAACTACAAGGGGAGATACAAAATGCACACATACAAATTTTAAAACACAATTCCTTATCTTAAAGTGAAAGAGAGAAGAAGGAAGAAAAGGTAGAAAAAGAGAAACATATCCAAAGAGGGGAGAGCAAATGCAGGCAGGAGGAAAAGGGGGCTTTCTGCTACAAAAGGATAGTGTTGGAAAGTGATGCAAAGGATGATATTTCAAATTTCAGATTCTCCCTAAACCTTTTCTTTCTCTTCCATACTGACCACAATGAATAAGTGTACCAAATGGCAAGGCTCAAGCGTGATAGGTATAGTGCATACTTAATTGTGAAATAATATTCAACCAAAACTTCATTAAAGTACATAGAGATGTGAAAGTTTATTCCACCAGAGGATTTGCCCACCAATTCTAATTCTGAAAGTTCATTAAATATTGGCTCTTAAATTTGTCATAGAAACTAGACTTTCACATTGTCCTTTCTTGCTAGAAGATCAAAGAAATGTGCTTACTTTCCTCAATTTATCCCCACAATCATTCTTTTGTCATTTGTTTTTAGAGTGGATGTGTTAAACTGCTTGGAGGTCTGGAATTTTAATAAGAATCCCAGAAATGATAAGCCTAAATGCTACAACAGAAATTATCACACTAATTTAGCACTATTCCTATCATATTATCCTATGCTGCCATGAGACCATATAAGAACCAGGGGCCACCCAATGAAATTATCAAAGAGCAGATTTAAAATCAACAAAAGGAAGTATTTTTCTATTCAAACCATAATGAATTGGTGGAATCCATTGCCACAGGACTTTGTGAGGGTCAGTAGTGTAGCCTTGTTCAAAAAGAGCTTAGAAAAATTCTTGGGTGGTAAGGCCATTAAGCACAACAGTCAGTAATGTAACCCCAGACTCGGGATACCTTTAAACCTATGGGGTGCATCCAGATGAGCACGCACATGCATTTTGTAGCATCTGACAGCCCTTTGGGACACTGCAAGAGGCATATGCAGGAATGAGAACTTTCCCTGTGCTGCAAATTTTCAATGTTGGGGCAAAATTAGAACCCTGGATATCCAGGAGTCAAAAAAAATGGAGCGGAAAAAAGCAGGGCAGGGCATGCTCCCGGACTGTGGCCTGAAGCAGCTGGAAGCTGGGTTCTCCACAGAGATGCCCTGGTAGCAGCCAGAGCATCTCTATGACTGGGCCTTGCCCTGGTGCTGAAGCCATAGGGAGCTGGACCTGTGCTCCAGTGATGGTGGGGGTGAGAGGGTCTGGAGGAAGGGAACATGGTGGGGACCCCCGCTGGCCCTGCCCACTCCCCCAGCCCCACCGATCACTGCTCCACCTGGCCTCAGCCCCGTGAGCCCCCTCATCACTGTCCCACTCATCCCCCCACCCCAGCATCCCAGCAATTAAAAAACAAACCAAAACAAAAAAACCCACACTCAGCAGCAGGAGCAGCCGCTGTTGGGGTCGCTGGGCACGCCCCGCACAGCATGGGGCTGGGTGACAGCCCCAGAAGCCCCAGCCTGGGCCCCACTTCCCCACACTGATCTGTGCTGCTTGGGGGCACTCTGCCAGGAGCCCCCACAGCCACTGCTTCTGCC